TTAATCCAAAAGCAGATAAAGGAAACAAAGCAACGGTAGATTGGAGGAATTACAAAGAGGTCATCTGAAGCAGTTGCCTTCTTGATATCAATCAGTGAAGCACCATTCAAGGCTTCTGTAACTGCCGAAACCTCTGCAGAATTGCATTCAGTGGTGGGAATTGCAGGAAAATTCAATTCTATCAGAAAGCCTTCATGTGCCCCACCAGTCTCAATCTTCGAGGAGGCATCAGTTGCCTTGACATCAGGAACCTTTTTAGCTGTCAGAATTCCAGCCAGTGTGTCGAATTCAATTATGTCAGAATTCACCAAACCAGTTCTAAAGAGAGCATGTGCAGATGCTAATGTTGCATGACCGCAGAGTTTAAGCTGTAAAATGATACAAAGATTTGAATTGACCGGCAAAATTAACCCAAAATTAAATCTTCAAGCAGCAATTCTGGTGGGCAAAACATGATAAATTGAAAAGCAATTTAATGATAATCCTCAAAAAACAAGTGGGCAAAATCCATTCCGCTGGGGAACCCATTAACCCACCTCAGCCACCGGAGTGAACCATCTGAGACGAAACCTAGGAGTTGCACATTCCGGGTCAGTAATCCGAGTCAAGTAACAAGTCACTGGGATGTTGAACTCAGCAGCTAATGATTGCAACCATTCCTCGTCTCTCTCCTCCTCCAATAAACAAACGGCGGCCGGGTTCCCCTTGAAAGCCGAGTCCGTGAACGCGTCAACCTGTTATAGATTCACAGCCATTCAATTTCAACCACCATATACATTCAAGAGGGAGTGAGAGAGGAGAGAAAGAAACGAACTTACGAAAAAGTACTTAACGGGTCCTTTGGCCATATTAAAAGAGGGTGAGAAAGATTCGAGCTTGGCGAGAAGAGGAGTTCAGCTTCTGTGGAGGAGAAGGAAAAAATTTTAAGAGAGTAGAAGAAGACCGACGCGAGGGGCTCGCCGAGTTCTGTCCTGCTGCCCCCGCTATATGGGGGGAGCTATACAACTGCGCCAGGCAATTGCTGGCTGAGAGTGGGGTGCTGGTAATGGTTTAAGGTTGCAGATCGGTGAATTTGTTAATTTGCGCTTGTTTATCATATAGTGGCAATGGATTTGGCGATGCTGGTGCAGTATAAAGTATTAAGAGTAAAGTGTGTTTTCCTGATTAAAAGCAAGACGCCCACCCAATCACTAAAAAAAAAAAAAGAAGAAGAAGAAGAAGAAGAAGAAGAAGTTAAAATACAAATATGATCCCTTAACTTTTATATTTTTATCAAATTTATCCTTAAATTTTAATTTTTAATTTTTAATGTAAAAAAATCATTCTATTAATAAAACTGTCATATAACTCATTATTTTATCATAAAATTAATTTTTTTAAATACTAATAATATGTAAAATCAAATAGATATGTTTTACTATCATTACATATTTTTATTTACAAATCAAATTAATATATAACAAAAATTAGACTAAATTAGTATTTGTAATCAAAATTTAAAAACTAAATTGATATTTACCTTCAAAGTTTAAGAACTAAATTGATATTATTTTTAAAAT